CTGCATTTGTTTGCTCGTTTGTGCCGGTGAGCAGCTGTGAACTGACACATTTGCTCCTCAGCAGAGTGGCTCCAACACACGTAATCCCATTGAACTGGACTCACAATGCGAGTACATCACTGTGACAGCTCCGAACAAGGYCTCTTATTACCTCATTAAACAAACACAGGCAGGCACAGAGACTGATCAGGCCCTCTGAGTCCATCCTGCATTAGTGGCTTAGCCCAGGAAAACATTCTGCCTTTTTTATTCCAGCCCTCTTTATACAGAGACGATGAGGCTTTGTGAGGCAGAGTCCAGATTAATAATGGTCTAAAAAAAAAAAAACAACAACTGCAGGAGCAGAGAGGAAGCTGCTAATAATCTCACTGCTGATTTTCTYCAATCAGACACAAAAACTGGGGAGGTTTAAAAAAATCTAAACCTTTGTTATTTAATAAGAGATGAGTCAAAACGGACGTTAACACTCTGCTTTAAAAAGATGTGAGGTCAGATACTYGAACAGAGTTTTATTTGTCATACAAGAAAAACACTTATTGGTTTGTGGAAKAAACTAAAACAACAAAACACTTCACGCTCTTTGTGAAGAAAACATGATTAATACAACGTTACTGCTGATAGTTTGTGTTTTTTGGCCTTTTATAACAAAGTGTTTCAGCTGGCAGCTCTGTGCTGAAAGTAACTTCACAAAAGATGAACTTCATCCCTTTTTCTTTTTCCCACAGTTTACTAAAGGATCTTTAAGACTGAAAGGTCTCAGATCTGGTTCATGAAATGAGCTCATTTCAGCTTTGTGTCGTATTCATTCATTTTTAAATTACACATAATCAGTCTTCTCTATAATAAAATCGTTATGGCAGAACATGTAAAAACCCATGGAAGCAAATTAGTTTGGGTTTATGTGGAAGCTGAATCACAATACAAATGGAACAATAATAATGACAGTTATTTTRTTGGAAAAAAATTAATAWAACGCTAATTTTATCAAGAATAAATGAGACCTAGAGACTGTTCAGATCAGACACCAATAAACCTAAGAACAAAACAGCCAAATCCATTGCTGTACTGCATAAAGTAAGAGAGTTATTCAATAATGAAGCACTGTTTATATTATATAAAGCAATAATTGTTCCACACTTGATCTGTTGTATTGAAGACTGGGGCAAAGCATGTAAAACAAATTACAAATTCTATTTTTATTTTACAGAAAAGAGCTGTAAGAATTATCACCAGAAAACATTACAGCCATCCATCAAATACATCATTTTATCAATTGAAATTATAAAAATTGTATGATAAGATTGATTATAAGATTTTGCAGGTTAGGGCTCGTAAAAATGTATTACCTTTGAACATCCCATCAAATTTTGTTGAGAGAGAAAGTTGTTATAATCCTGAAAGGTTAGAGATGTTTGTAAAACCTAAAATTCGAACAAATTTGAAGGACCGATGTATTTTGGTTCAAGGAATAAGATTGTGGAATAAGAAAGTGTTCATAAAAATGCTGGTTTTATGTTTTGAACCAGCAGAGAATGATAAAATAGTTCGTTAAAGAAATATAAAATCATATAATGTGTGTTTATGAGAGTTGTTTTCCGAGAAGGAGTTGAAGTTTTTGTTTTGTACTTGAAGATTAYTATTGTTTGAAATATTTTTTTGGAAAATAGGGGCAGATAGTTGTTAGAATTTGTCTTCTTTCTTCTGCCTTTCATTTTATTTGTGATTTGTATTTTTGTTGTGTATAGGTTTCTTATGAAATTAATAAAGATAAAAAAATAAAAATGAGAACAAATTTAACAAATTCATGAATCTTTGGCTCACGGAATCATCTAGCTTTATGAAAATGAAAATATTGGGGATCCATAACACCTTGGGGTCTCTTCCTGGTGGGATGTGCCCAGAGAAGACATCCTGACTGAATGCCTGAACCGCCTCAGCTCCTTTTGATGCTCGACTCCAAGATCCTCCAGGATGATGGAGCTCTTCATCTCATCTCTAAGGCTGAGCCCGGTGCGCCCATCATTTCAGCTGCTTGTTTCCAGGATCTCGTTCTGTCYTTCTGTAGGTGAGGGTTGGAACATAGATGGGTCAGTAAATCCAGACCATTTCATTGTAATGGAAACTGTGAGCTGAGTCCAAACCAGAATCAGGACTTAAAGAGTTGCTCTTTTAGGAGTCATTCATGAGTGAGATTTTCAGACATACTGTAATTACACCCTTTTAATCAGTCATGCCAACAATTAAACTAAAAGCTTCAGGTGACTGCTGTTAAACTTAATTACCTGAAGTGATCCCAACATGATGCTCAGCTGTTAAATAATAACAAAGTGCAGATCTGACTGCAGATTCAAGTCTCTYATCATAGTTTTAACAATCATGATATTTTAGGTTTCAGAGCTTGTTCCCTTATATTCTCCATCTGCTCTAATCGTCAGCTACTTAACYTCGTTTTAACAACATAGCTGCTGCAAATCAATCTGCATTTCACTTTCAACAGAAAAGAGAGYGGAACAAAATCCATTTCTGTTCTGCTGCCTCTGCTTCAGTGGAGCATGTCAGACCATTTAGCACTTAGCAGCGTGCACCAGAACAGAACGTCCAAGCTTCCTGGCATGAGTCACCCTGAGGGAAGGAGATACGACAAGCTGAAGCTGGCCTGCAGCACCACAGGGCTTCATGTCCAATATAATGACCAGCCATCAATAATGTCCAGTGGCTTTCAAACCCCAAAACACGTTACGACAAAGATTAGTTCACCCCAAAGATCCAGTTCC